GGTCACGTGAAAAGTTGATGCAACGGAATTTTCGCCGTAGTTTTTCGTTTTAGAACATGCAGTCAGCGTCATTCACCTTGCTGTGAGAAGGACACCTTCGAAATTTCCTTATCTACGCAATTACAGGGGGAAATCCAGAGTTCCGAACTCCGTCAAGGACCGGGAAGCAGGGACACCACTACTGCTGGAGAAAAGCATGTCGTAAATACTTTTGTGCGTGTCCGTGTGTGCATACGTGTATATGTGAATATGTATGCGTGCCTGTGTGCGTTTGTGTGTGTACGTGCGTGTGCGGGTGTGTTTGTGTGTGCGATTACAAGAGGTCGGCAAAAAATGAGTTGTAAATGCAGTGACCGATAAAAGTCAGCACCATGTAAGTAAGAAGTTTGTTCCACTGCTTGCTATCAGATTACGACGTGTACGCCTAAAAGTTTCTTTCTTAAAAAGGGACCACACATGTTTTCATTCCGATATCAACTGCTGAAACACCTATCCAACCGCCAATAATCTGAGAATCTCGGTCAATGATTTATACACATAAAGATAACGAAGCTTATGACTATGGGCTTGTGATAGAACTATTATCGTCATCAGACAACACTGATGAGTACCACTCAAGTTTTTGGATGACTAACAGGTTGCTCAGTTACAGAAAAGTAGGTGCGCCAGTAAAGCCAGTGAAGGGAAAAATTAAGTTTCTGATGGATGATTATCGTTGAGATCAACGGCAACGGATGGAGATAATTCGAGCGTAAGCGATAGGCCTACGCGCCCCATTTAGGTTGTGATGTCCATGTGATTGAGGAAATTCCCCTTCAGGAACTCATGGTCAGAAACCGATCATTTGTTCCGAAAACAGGATTGGAGGGTAAGCCTACATTCCGAATTTCGAAGAATCACTTGACCCTCTAAAGATACTCTAACTCTGAGAAATAATAACACTACTAACAAATACCACTTGAGATCAGGCAATTATGCGAGCAGCAACAAAGAGGTATCCATGCAGACTAGATGTTGTACGGACTCCAGCACTGCCCGACAGAATGCACTACCACTCAGAATATTCAGAGAAAACCTAGCATTACGTATTTCTCATCATTCGTTGGAAGAAGATTGTTAAGAGTTTTGATGGAGATCCTCTCACTGCCCAAGCAAGTGAATTCTCGAAGCCAGTACACATATATACAGTAGCGCTCAAAAGTCTTTGGTGAAATGCTTTGACGCTATTTCGTTCATAACATTTTTCTTAGTAGACCAAATCGTGCGAAATTTAGATATTTTTGACTAGAGCATATTTCACCCTACCCAACCATATTTGACTGTAAAGCTGCAATATCCAAAGGTAGAGCAAGGTGTTCGTTGCGTTAGCAGTTTTTGCTAAAAGTAAAGTTGTTGACGTCTGCACTTATTCACGCCTTATGTGCATTTTTCTCCTCTATTGTGTTCGCCATTACCGCTCGTACACTTTAGTCATGACAAAAAGGAAAGCTTTTCCAGAGGGACCATCATCTGTATTTTCACTCGATTTTGAGTTCATGCTCTTTGGAATATATGGAACATGATCGAATTGCAGGTTACTAGTGGTAAATATTCACGATACACCCACGCTCCAAATATAGAAATTTCGCATGATTAGATAAAGTAGGAAAGGAGTTACGACTGAAAAGTACGGCTGAAGAAGCATTTCACCGAAGACTTTTGAGCGCTACTGTATGTACATAAGACATAGGATTCCACGCCAAACGTACCCTAGAACATTGCAGGACAATCTTGGGCCAAAATCTGGGTGAAAATGAGGTTGACTGGTCAGCAGTATGAACAGTTCCCCCGGAAAAGCTTACAATTTTTCACTTCATCTCCACAGCAACCAAGTAATTCCTTAACTTATTTGTAGGTTCGTTGCATTGACGTTACCAGGAAATATGGACAGAAGGGAAGTTCATTCACTCATTCACTTCAACTCTTCTCTGAATTGATGGACGTAAACTATGTATACACAAACAGTGCCAATATGGGTTATCGGTGCCACAATCGATCAGCTCACCAGTAATTAAGGTGCCATCCGATTTGTTCAGATAGAGTAGCTCGTCAGTGAATTTTAAGAGAATCGACTTTAATAAAATGCTCTAGAAAATCTTAGTTCCTAAGTATTTGTGGAGCATCAGTTTTCCAAGAAAGGAGATTCAGCTCTAACAATTTGTATCTAGGTTATTCCTTGTATTTAGCAGCCGATGCCCTTTGTACACATATCAGGAGCCCAGCGAAGGCAACATTGCCATTAAGCCTAACTACTCTTTACGATGTCGTTATGGAAGAAGTTCGGTTTGACCTGTATTGATGTAATCAACCCAACGAACTCTAAGAAGTTTGAGACAATCCTTATAGTCCGACACTCGGTTTAAGGAGACGGCTCCCTTGGTCTACTGGATCCAGTTGTGAAAGTATGACTTTGGAAATATGACTTCGGGGTGATGTATCTATTCACAAAAAGGGAGAAACAAGGCAAAACTTCATAAATGGTTCGAATCACCGTCCAGAGTGTACACCTGAGCTTGTGCGGGCCCGGATCCAGCTCTGTGCTATGATATGAAAAATAATTTTAAAATTATGAGACTGAAATCGCACAGATTTCTTCCCAAAGTAAACCGGTTTCGGAACGAATACATGATAACAATTTAATATTCATAAAATAATATAAATATTATATGCAAAATCGGTTTTTGTCGGCTTTTATGAACTTTTCATAAAAGCCGTTCAACAAACAATTTCAGGTATACTCTGAAACATACTGCATAAGTTCTAATCCATTATTCAGATGTATAAAAAGTCAAGAAGTTGAAAAATAAAACTTTTTTTACCATCCAGTGTAAATATCATTCCTATCGCATCGATCGCATCAGTAACGTTCGAATCACATGCTATGTTAATAAAATATTAATTGCATTTGGTATTGATCAAATGTACAGCAGTCCTCCAGATATGAAGACAGGTAAGGAGTCGTTCAGAATGAATGCTCGTTTTCCCATTCTACCCTTGAACCGCATATGGTATGATTTCAAAAATTTTTTTTTGATGATAGTAAGGTTTACCCCGAATATTACTCCACCAAGTCAAATTGAACCCTTTTTATGTCGTAAACTGGTTGTTCAAACACTCTGCTGTCATTTTCCGCCCCAACTCTCCTTGTCAGTTCCTATGAACTCGGGTCCTTCTTTTTCCAACTCTTCAATTTTCGAGCGACCCACTAGTCGCTGTCTGTTCCCATCAGAATGTAGTACTACCTTAGTTTGGATTATGACTACGACATCTTTTCATACTGTACTGCGCTGGAGAATCGATCAAAAAATACAATAGATGTGCATAGAATTTCTCATCGACCTTCTCGGAAATCCCCTCAGAAGACTTTCTCACAAATATGGTTTTGATATGGTTTCAAATGCCCTTCTTCCCTCACTTTCACTTTCGCTTATGAATGCCAATATTTAACTGACCTGCTTGTCATGTCTTCCTCTCTCACTTCTCATTACTGGCAGTTCTATCAAATTTTCCTATCCTGCAGTTTGAAGATCCGAAGTTTGCTACGAGGTGGCTGCCGCACCAGCATATTCCAACTTCGTGAATTACAAAAGAAATCACTTGGGGCCTGGAAACGCTCCTCCTTCCTACTCCAGCAGTCATCGATCCCGTCACTTTTTCCAGCCACACCTTTGCCTTTCGAAGATGAGCTTTCTGAAAAATTCTTGATACTGTAGCCTTTAGCTTGATTTCTGAAACTGACTACGAATCATGTTCTGTAAAACAACCCTACACATCCTGCCCTTCTGATTCACATTGAGAGGTTTTCCTAGAAGAGAATAGGAACGGCAGCGGACACCTTGGAATTTCATTATCAAACAAAGGATTTTTCGGTACAACGGATGTTGTCACAATCCAGAGCCCATTAATAAAGAAAACAATGACCATCACTATAAAAAAATGATTTCAAAAAAGCTAAGCTTACTATCAGTGTCGTGACAGATTGTTTCAAGAAAAACATGATAAACTGTAGAATGTGGAATTTCAAAGACGTGGAATTTCGAAGAAAAAACTCAGATTAACATCATGTGCGGATTTGCCAGCTTGCAAAACAACCGTCAAAAAGATACTGTTATTCGAAAAACTAAATTATTTAGTTTTTGAAACTTGAAATTGAAATTGAAATTTTCAATTCTGTATTTTTCATTCCAAAAAAGATACTGCTATTCAAAAATTCGAATTATTCGAAATTTCAGTTTTCGATTTTTTATTCCACCATGAACGTGAATATTTCCAATATCAATATCATCATTTGCGCTTCGCAGCTTAATTAATGTATATAATATATAATACATATTTCTATTTCAAATAAAAATATACAAATAATATATAAATGAGCGTAAATATTGAAAAGAGATAAATAATAAATAATATAGTAAATAATTTCACTGCTGATTGCAGCGAAAAAAGAGCAGTTAATAAAACATCAAGTCGAATAAAAATTTCAATGTAGAATATACAATAAACAATAATAAAAAATAATATAATGATATAGGAATAATAATAATAATAATTCTAATTTATAAATAAATACTAAGAGGTTTTTATCTATATTATACAAGCTGATAAGAGATAATAGAACCATCAGGAAAATTTCAATTTAAGGAAAAGACATCACTTTTGAAAGAACCTCCTATCCGTGAATTTTTCTTAGTCGTATGCGACGTGAGGGTCAAAGAACCTTTTAAAGATAAGCAAATCCAAAAAAGTTAAGACCTCTCCTAATCTTACAGATATTACTACTAAGTACTGATTGCAACAATGGGGGCCTGATCATCAATGAAAACTATCTGCCCACTATGTTCTTCACTGTTTCTGACGTCATCGGCCGAGCACTTTGCCCTCCTGAGAGCATATTTCAAACTATTTTCACCCATTTTCATTTTTCACAAACTGTCCCATTTCAGAAAAATTTAGGACAAAAAATGTGGAAAGCTTGGGTGGCGATCTTGTCGGTCGCCTGCCTGGTCGAGGCTCATATCCGCTGTAAAAATATGAAAGGAGAAGATGTTGACTGGTAATTACCATAGAATACTTTCTAAAAACTTTCGCAAGATTTAATTTCGAAACAGAAGAGCGATTTTTTGGAAAAAAAACCTTTCATTTCAGGTTTGTCGCATTGAAATTACCAGCCTCCATCGATCAAAACAAGGGGCATAGCTTTGCCTACTTCGACTCTACCCAAAATGGATGGATCATGAGCGAGCAACCGATAAACAGTACTGAATCCGCGATCGGTGCCACCGTCAATCAGCTGTATACCACCGACGACGTAAGGAATCGTCCACTTGCAGAAATTGGTTGGATTTCGAATGAAATTTCAGAAAACGACCTTTAAAATCACCTATAATGATGAATGTCCAAATGAAAAAGCGGACAGTGGACGCGGTCACAGCAAAGGTGTTGCTGTTTTCTCAATTGATAGCGGATTTTGGCTGATACATAGCGTGCCTAAATTTCCTCTTCCGAGTAAGTGGTTCTTTATTCCTTCGAATTGGACCCTTCAACAGACAGAGCCCGATAATCAGGGCACACAGTATCCAAAAATCTATGGCGAATAGAACAAGTAGAGTCACAGATCACAATGATCAGAACTTTCCAAAGAAAATACGGCTATCCGGGTTCTGCACAATCATTTCTTTGCCTGTTGTTCGTTGTGCCCACTGTCATTGTCCCCATCTATAGGGCACTCAACATCAAAGTTAAGAGGTAAGCTCGGGACGATCAGTCCTATTTTGTGATGCCCCGTTGCATCGACTTTGAATGAAGACCGTCATGGTGTCTGAATGAGTACCTGCTCGAACAGTAAATCGCTGGAGCTAAGAGGGCCGACAGATTAGTGCTTCCTATCTCCCCAGACGATTCCAGTATCAAATAGACGACCATGGAATTGAAAGAAGGCTTGGTTCACCTGAACCTAGGCCTAGGGAAGGTGTA